AGTGTGTAAAGCATATGGAGAACATTTTACCAGGGGCCAGAGAAGATGGTACAAAAGTTAAAGGACTTGTTTACCATGCCATTGACCAGATTCAATCCTGGTACCACTTATGATTCCCTGAGCACAGCTGGGTGTGGCCCAAAACAAACAGGTTTACCAAAGAAGGTGTTTGGAAGGCCAAGAAAAAGATGTTCTATATTAGGCATTAAGAAAGTACAAACCTAAACTACAAGATACCACTTTAAAAAAAAAAAGTATTAGTGAATCACTGTGAGATACAGTTACAGTCTTACAAACTTTCATGCTTGCATTTCACTCATACAATGATCGAGTACCCATCCCTCCACCAGTGCCCATTTTCCATCACCAATGATCCCAACACCCCTCCCACCACCCCCACCTCGTCCCCCTCTACCCTACCCCGCCTCTGTGACAGGGTGTTCCCTTTTGTGCGCTCTCTCTCTCTCTGGGTGTTGTGGTTTGCAATAAAGGTATTAAGTGGCCATGTTTGGTCTGTAGTCTACTTTCAGCCCTCATCTCCCATCTCAAGCGGGCTCTCCTAACATCCTTTACTTAGTGTTCCCTTCTCTATCTGAGTCCCTTTTAATCCAGTTTGTGAGGCCGACTTCTAAGCTGTGGAGTAACCCGTCAGGTACTTATCTCTACTGTTCTTGGATGTTAGTCTCCCATTCTGTTACTTTATAATTTCACAATTGAGTGCAACCTTTCTATATCTGTTCCTCTCTTTATGACTCATTTCACTTAACATGATCCTCTCCATGTTGATCCACCTATAAGAAAATTTTATGACTTTATCTTTTTTAACAGCTGCATAATATTCCATTGTGTAGATGTACCGGAGTTTCTTAACCAGTCATCTGTTCTCAGGCACTCAGGTTTTTTTTTTTTTCCAGATTTTGGCTATTGTAAACAGTGCTGCAATGAACATGTCATTTGTACTATACTTTTTTGCATCTCTGAGATATATTCCCAGAAGTGGTATTGCTGGGTCAAATGGGAGCTCAATTTCTAATTTTTTGAGAAGTGTCCATACTGTTTTCCAAAAGGGCTGAACCAGTCAGCATTCCACCAGCAGTGAAGGAGAGTCCCTTTCTCCCCACATCTGCGCCAACACAGGTTGCTTTTGTTCTTTTGGATGTGGGCCAGTCTCCGTGGTGTGAGATAACATTGTTGTTTTATCTCCCTGATGATTAGTGATGTAGAGCATTTTTTCATGTGCCTTTTGGTCATTTGGATTTCTTCTTTGAGAAAGTTTCTGTTCATTTTGTCGCCCCATTTTCTGAAGGGGTTGGATGTTTTCTTCTTGTGGACTTCAACCAGTGCTTTGTATATCCTTGATATCAACCCCTTATCAGATGGGTATTGGGTGAATATCCTTTCCCGTTCTGTAGACACTCTTTGTATTCTGCTCACTAAGATACCACTTTTTATGTTCTAGGATGTCTAGAATAAAAAGGATAACAGGCTCATAAATTATATGGAGAAATTAGAATGCTTATTTTACTGGAAATACAGAATGGTACCCCTGCTTAGTTCCTTTGAGGGACTTAGGGGGTACACTAGCAGTACTCAGGGCTTACTCCTCCTGATTGTGCTCAAGAGGCCATATGTGGCACTAGGGATCAAACCCTGGTCAGCTTAAGTGCAAGGCTAGACCTTACCTGCTGTACTATCTCCGGGGTCCTCGGTTCTTTCTTGAAATGGCCACAACATAACACGGCCTAGAAATTCCACTTCTAAGGGTTGCCAGTTAGCTCAGTTGGTTACAGTGTGGTGCTGATAGAAATTTCACTTCTAAGTATATATCTAAGAGAATGAAAATATTAGCTTCATAAAGATATGTATTTAGTATTAAATACATTATGTTCCTAACAAAAGGAAAGAATATAAAATCTATACAACAGAATGTTATTTTGTAATAAAAAGTAAATACTCATACTTCATATTATTCTGAAAGTACTTAGTCCCCATCCCCCCCTAAAAAAAGGACAAACGTTTTGTAATTTATTTATATGAAATTTTCCGTATAGAAAAATCGATAGATACAAAAAGCTGAAAAAAAAATGTTGCCTAGGGCTGGAACAAGTTGTAAAGGATGGGGGGATGAAAGTGGGAATTGACTGTTTCTGGGTATATGGTTTCCTTTGAGGGTGTAAAAACATTCTAATATTACATGGTGGTGATGGTTTCACGGATTTTATGAATATACAGAAAAACTTCCTCTTCTTAGGTTAATTGTATGGTATTCATATTAAATTTCAAAAATAGGTGTGACTATAATTTATATGAGCAAACTGGATGTAACTATATAACACAATCTAGTTTAATTTTTTTTTTTTTGCTTCCAGGAAAAAAAAAACATGGAGCTGCATTATTGAATATCAGGTTAATTGCTCTGTGTTGCTTTAGGCTAGAAAATAACCTGCATTCTACATTAAAGTTTTTGAAGTATAGATATTCTTTTCAGATTTTGACATAAATTGACCAAATGTTGTAGGACTGAGGAATGTCTGAGAATAATATATATCATATAATGTCTGGTTTTAAGAAATATACTCAATGGTGAAATGATATCAAAGTATTCTATAATTGTTGGTTTTATATTACTCATTAATGTTTTCCTAATACTTGTTGATTTTAAATCTGTACGCGAAATAGAGTATGTGTGATTCATTTTTAAAAGTTGACTTTTAGTTCATAAGTGACAGTAGGCAAAACTAACAAAGATTTTCCACAATGATTTTTTGTTTGTTTTGTTTTTTTGGGTCACACCTGGCGATGCTCAGGGTTTACTCCTGGCTCTGCACTCAGGAATTACTCCTGGCGGTGCTTGGGGGACATATGGGATGCCGGGGATCGAACTCAGGTCAGCCGCATGCAAGGCAGACGCCCTACCTGCTGTACTATCACTCTGGCCCCTGCAATGATTTTTAATACTTAAAATATTTTCAATATGATTTTAAACAGATTGTGGCTAGTGTATCATGGAAATGTTAAGGGACACTGTTTTGAGTATGTTGGGGGTCTCTATTTAAACTATTTGTTTACACTGATGTTAAATTGTTTTTGTTGTTGTTGTTTATGGTTTTGGTTTTTGGGACACACCCAGCAGTGCTTAGAGGTTACTCCTGTAATTTCTGCACTCAAGAATAACTCCTGACAGTGCTCAGGAGACCATATGGGATGCCTGGGATTGAACCAGGGGGTTGGTTGTGTGCAGGGCAAGCCCACTACCCACTGTATTCTCTCTCCAAGCCTCTGATGCTAAGTTATTTTGCAAATTACTTAGTTTAGTTGTGCTATTGATACAATTCAGGTGGAGAAGAAATCATAGAAAGTTGCAATATCATTGAATATATTTTAAATGCACTATAGCACTGCCCCCCCCTTCATCAATTTGCTCGAGTGGGCACCAGTAACATCTCCATTGTGAGACTTGTTACTGTTTTTGGCATATTGAATACGTCACGGGTAGCTTACCAGGCTTTGCCCTGCGGGCGGGATACTCTTGGTAGCTTGCTGGGCTCTCTGAAAGGGACGGAGGAATTGAACCCGGGTCGGCCACGTGCTATTTGAGGAGATTAATTGTAAGACATAACATACTTTGAGTCCTCTTTACTTTTTATTGTGCCAAGCATATCACTCATTTTTAGAGCACTTTTAGCTTTTCCATGATGTAAGAGTCAATGCATGTGTTGATATATCGCATTTATTTGAAATTAATTATATGTGTTAGAATCTAAATACTAAAAGTACACTTTTGGTTTATTTCCTTTTGTATTTTTCTGTTTTTAAGTAAATGCGAAGCATTTGCTTTTCCAGTGACTATTCTCACAATTTCAAAGCAGATTCTCATACTGGGATGAATTTAATGCAATATTTTGAAACTTTATATTCAGACTTGTATGAGTATACATACATACATATATGTTTCAGAGAGGAGAAAAATACCTAATGTTTAAACTTTTTTTTTTTTGCTTTTGGGGTCACACCCGGCGATGCACAGGTGTGCATAATACCTGGCTCATGCACTCAGGAATTACTCCTGGCGGTGCTCAGGGGACCATATGGGACGCTGGGAATCGAACCCGGGTCGGCTGCGTGCAAGGCAAACACCCTACCCGCTGTGCTATCACTCCAGCCCCTAATGTTTAAACTTTAGATCTTGAAGTGTTCTAAGCATTTTTAACTCTGGGATTCAGTTAGGGTCGCCTGTTTTTTGTTTTGGGACCACAGCCTGCAGTGCTCAGGACTTACTTCTGGCTCTGTGCTCAGTATCAGTCCTGGTGGTGTGTAGGTAGCCATATGTATTGCCAGGATTGAACCTGGGTCAGCCATGTGCTAGGCAAATGCCATAACCCCTAATCTGTCTCACAGCTGTCAGCTTTTTCTGATTTTTTTTTTCTTCTAATGGTTCTTTATAAGTGTGTACTTTGTATCTACTGAAAACGTAGTGGAGGACAGAGATGAATCTCAAGTGAGGTTATTCTCAGTTGAGTTCTGAACAATATATGAGCTATAGCCTGAATTATATTAAAATCAGTTATTCAAACCTCAATTTTAATGGTATTTCCCTTTTAATAGTATAGTTTTGGCTAGAGAGATAGAACAGCAAATAGGTTGTATGCTGCCAACCTGGGTTCAATCCCATGCATCACCTCTGTTCCCCTTAGCACTGTCAGGAGTGATCCCTGAGCACAAAGCCAGGAGTAACCATTGAGTACCACTGGGTGTGGTCAACCCCCCCCCCCAGGTAAAAGTATAGTTTGATTAGAATTTGAGTTATTGTAAAAAATAAAAGAATTAACACCTCAGTGTACTTTTATAATCACTTTATCCTGTTTTAAAATTTTTAAATAGTCTACTTGTTTTAAACTGCTTTGACATATCATATTAATATTAGACTTTGATTTTGTATCTGTTTTTGCTGTTGATGGGGAAAGATTTTTGTGCAAATATTTTACCAAATATTTTTGCAGGGACACTTAGTCGGTCTGGATGAACCAGCTTCGGGAGCTGGGCAAGAAGCTCTGCTTAAACAAGAGCAAGCAAAAATCATTCGGTTCGAGAGACAAGCAGAAGAGTTCCTCAATGCAGTCTTTTATAGAAAAGGTTGGTTTCCAGTGAAGAATGATGTTTAGCACCTGCTTGTCTTATATTAATCTCCTTAAATCATTTAAGAAGTCATTTTTAAGATACTTCTCTTTGATGATACTTTATCATTCCATATATTCCTTATCAGCTTAAATTTGGAATAGAGTAAGGCAGCTCTTCTTCCTTTTCTCTCTGAAGAGATTGTGCCATGTAAATAATTCGTCACTGAATCCTCATTTGGAGAAAAATGTAAATTTATATCTTAAAATTATATTTGTACACATTTCTTTTTCTCCTTTATGCAATCTTATTGTACTAATTTTTATTTTACTAATTTTAATGCATTATTTTATAATGAAACCTTGCCCCATGTGTTTTCTCTCTTGCATATTTCAGTTAATCTTTCTCATTAAAATTTTGTAAGATTTGTGTATTTCTAATACAAAAACATTCTCCAATTACAGTGTCTTGAAGTGTGGGAGTTCTTCATGAACTCATTAATATACTTCCTCTATCCACAAAGTTTTTTTTCTTTTTTTTTAATCCACAAAGTTTTATTGCAATCAGCCAAGACCTTTGTGAACCTTCCCTTTATTATATATTCTAGTGGGGTATATCTTTGCTATCAAACACTTGCTGGGTTTTTACTGATTAGTTCTTAGGCCTTTCCTGTAGCTCTGTGGCAGAAATTACTGATAGGTTCTAAGAAAGTTGTCTGAAAACTACGAATAATCCTTATTTACTTAGGTTATTTCACTCTTTAAAATATTTTATGAGGAAACAGAGTACGGGGGTAAGATTGGATCCCCAGCTTTACTTACGTTCTCCTAACACTGCCAGGTGTGGCCCTAACAACAAAAAATAAATCATTTCTTGATATTTTCTAGGTTAGTCATTCTTCTGTAAATTCATTTCTTCCCTCAGAGTTCAAGGGTATAGTTTCCTTTACACTCTGATAAGTGCTTCTTCTGATGGGTTTGTGACAGTTGAAAACCAACTGGACTTCTGCTTAATGTGATCAGTATTCTCGAGAAGGAATATGAGGCACAGTAGGTGTATACAAGATGATTCTTTTCATTGGCATTCCCCCCCCCCCATTATTTTCTTGCCATCAGATTTGTAGGGCAGAAAGACATTTTTTAAAAAGTTTATTTTTACTTTAACTTAAATTATTTTGTGATTAATTCTGGAACCTTAACTTCTTTTAAATGCTCTCTTGCACCATTTCACATTATCACCCCTATAAAGTACCCTGAATTTCAAAATTATAAATAGCTCCTTGGCCAGTTATACCAGTTTATTAAGCAAAGAACCTTTATACCACTGCTGATGCTCCTTTAGTTAAGAATCTGTGCTGGCATTGTCTAATACTATAGCAAAACTTCGATTACCTGAAAAGAGAAAATTCTCTCCACAATCCGTATAGAAGAACCACTTTTGGTCCACTCTGCATAAAGAGCTAATAAGGTCAGTGACTGTAAGCAGACTCCTCTACTACATGACAAGTCTCACCTCTTTATAATGGAGGAATAACGTGGTAAATTTCTTAAGTTTTCTTAAAAACATTTAAGAGCAGAATATCTTTTTAAATTGGTAGCCCAGGAAAGCTTGATAGTAGGTATTGAAGCCCTTTTCGTTTGTTTTTGTATTTGTTCCGGACCACATCTGGCAGTGGTCAAGGGTTACTCCTGGTTCTGTATTCAGGAATCACTACTGGCAGGCTCAGGGGCCATGTAGGATGCCAGGGATCGAACCCAGATCGACTGCATGTAAGGCAAGCGGCCTCCTTGCTGTACTATCACTCCAGCCCCTGTAGTAGAAATTTTTATGAAACTTAGGCTCAGACTTCAAGAGATAAAATCTCCTTCAAAATTGTATCTAAAGTTAAGTTTGTGTACTTGTATACTGACAACTGAGACCCAGGAGAACTGTTTCTTTTCAATAAAAAATTTTTCCCCCAGGCTTTTATATTAATTTTAGTTCTAATTAACTTTGTCAAGGATGGAAGAATGGTCATGATTACCCAGAATATTTGTATCCAGAGATACGACAGTTGATGAAGAATATTTTGTTTTTAATTTGATTCTTCTACCTGTCTCGAAGAGCCCGGCAAGCTACCGAGAATATCTCACCCGCATGGCAAAGCCTGGCAAGCTACCCGTGACGTATTCGAGATGCCAAACACAGTAACGAGTCTCAAAATGGAGACATTACTGGGCCCGCTCGAGCAAATCGATGAACAACGGGAGGACAGTGCTACAGTGCTAATAAATGACTTCAGCTACTTGGATATATTCCTTTATTTCCAAGTTTTACAAATTGTGTGTGAGCACTGCCAGAGTTAATTCCTGAGTACAGAGCCAGGAGTAACTCCTGAGCTGCTCTGAGTGTGACCCTCAAAACAAAAACAAAACACAATTTACCTTCTTCATTATTTCTTCAGCTTGTTCTGTCTCTTTTAGAAAATTATTCTGTATTTGCAGTTCTAAAACATATGGGTGCCAATGGTAGCATTCAAGTGTTTTTCTCATTTACATTTTGATCTGATGGTGTTCTTATTCTCAATTCTTCATGTTCCATTAAACATATCTGTGTTTCTGGATGTGTTGTGAGTATGTGAAAGAGTGCATATATCACCAAAAACCTTCAAAAGAACATAGAGGTTCAAATGACAGTTGTCATTAGTTAAAAAAACATAAATCATATTTTATGATTGTGTTAGTCATTCATTTAACAAAGTGGCAAAATATGTAGTAGGTATTTAAAAACACCAAAGGTAGTAATTTATGGTCTTTATTCTAAAATCGTTGGCTCTTCACAAATCTCTGTAGTTGTTTTTTACTGTAGTTAAATAATACTATCTTATATAATGCTTCATTTTTGGAAATTTCTCAGGCATTGTACATTCTTCAGCTTTTCAGGAGATAAAAGGATGGACTGGTATTAAAACTTGAAATTATACATACACAATCTTTTTATTTGGACAAAGCCTGTTGGATAGAGAGGTCTTTGGTTTTTTAAAAATTATGAATCAGACTAATATTTCTCAGTGGTAGAGCACTTGATTTTGAATGGCATCACAAAAACAAAATTTTTTTCCCAGAAACTGTTGTCATTGATGGCAATAACTTTTGATCCTTAACTAAATGAATACCTTTTTCTTATGTCATCTAACATAGTTAGTTTCCAGAGAGTAAGTTTAGGGTTAGAAGTTACTAAATATTTAAAATAGGTATCAATAATAGAGTAGATCTTATTAAAATTCAAGGCAATGTTATGGTTTTATGACCATTTTCTGTCCTTTAGAGAAAAATTCTGTTTTTAAGAATCATACAAGTCAGTTTTTCTTTGTAAATCAACATAAATTTCTTAAAACTCTAGAATATTGTGGATAAAGTAATTTACTTCCTCTGATAAAATTAATTTTCTTTCCCCTTTATTTTAAAAGCCACAGAAACTCAGTTTTTGAGAACTGTCATGTAAAGCCTTAGAAATATATTTGTTTGATAAAGGTTCTGGGTGAGACCTAAGTTAGAAGAAAGGGTTTTTGTTTGTTTTTTTTTTAATCAAGGGTGTTACTTTACCCATTCATACAAATAATAGAGGCCCTTGAACCTTTAGATCATATGTCTTTCTTAGAAAAGAAAAACTTTTGATAAATGATTTGATCAGATTTATTACTCAACTAATGTGAAAGCATTTTTTTTTCCCTTTTTGGGTCACACCCAGCAATGCTCAAAGGTTACTCCTGGCTTTATACTCAGGAATTACTCCTGGCAGTGCTCAGGGTACCATGTGGGATGCCAGGGATCGAACCCGGGTCTGCCACGTGCAAGGCAGACACCCTACCCTCTGTGCTATCACTCCAGCCCCTGAAAGCAATCTTTACATAAAGCAAGGATAAGAAACTGAATATACAAAAGTAAACAAACAATCTCTGCCCTTGAGGTGCTTAATGTCCATAAGAGAGTGATAATGATTGAGATATTTATACAAAACATTTTTATTTTACCCCATTTAACATTAATGTCCCTGAATGTTCTGTAAGTTAAATAGAGCCTTTATTTTTTTAATTAACATTCATTAGAGATTGTTTATTTCTTTGGTTATCATGCTTAATGGTTAGCAGGGTATGTTCAGAGAATTTCTTTTAAAAATGTTGTTTTTGTGCCTCGATTTGACATTTAAACTCTAACCAATCTTAAAGTTATAAAACATTGATTCTAAAATTCTAGTCCACTGGTGTGCAGTATAAGAAATTTTTGCAAGATCACTAACTTTGGAAAAAGGGTTCCACGATCAATGCTTACAAACCCTCAAAGTGATTTTGGTAATAGTCTATCAAGCATCTTAATACTTTCTAGTGACCCCTTCTGTATTTTTTTGTATGCCTTTAAATTTTAACAGGAATTGGATTTTAAGGACCCATTAACTGAGCAATCCGTTGCTCAACAACTTAGGCATAGGTGACAGGAGAAAATTAAGGGGAAACAAGATTGTGACCAGTATAGGTGATAAACAGGAGCTTATATTTACTGAGAAGGGATTTCTGTATCAGGTAAGTGATTTTTGCCCAAAGATCTGTGTGTTAACCCTTTATTTGAATTCTTAATGGGGAATGTGTTGGATTGGGGGTATGTTTAGAAAGTCGGTTTGTTTTTCTTTTTAATTTTTGCAACCATAAACTTAGTAACAATATAGCTAAGAGGGAATACTATTTTAGGATATTGCATTTTCAGAAAAAATAAAATGAAGTTTTGTTTGCTTAAAAGCTTGTCTTTTTTTTTTTTTAAGTATATTGTCCCACTTTAAAAGTAAATAAATCTTTGTTTACAGACAGTCCCTGGGTCTCCGACCCCAATATTCCCCTAGTGGCCCGTGAGATCATGCAGCGAATGATCCAACAATTTGCTGCTGAATATACCTCAAAAAATAGCTCTACTCAGGACCCCAGCCAGCCCAATAGCACAAAGAACCAAAGCCTGCCGAAAGCATCTCCAGTCACCACCTCTCCCACGGCTGCAACTACTCAGAACCCTGTGCTCAGCAAACTTCTCATGGCTGACCAAGACTCACCTCTGGACCTTACTGTCAAAAAGTCTCAGTCAGAACCTAGCGAACAAGGTATGGTTTAATGTCAAGGTCTCCTGTCCAATCAGAATATTTTAATTTGGGGAGAAAAAAATTATTGGCAAATAGACACCAGTAACAATAATAGGACTTAAAAACTAATGCAGTACTTGAGTTATTCCTGACCAAGTAGTGATAGAGAAGAGCAACTAGAGTTGATTGTCATACCCTCTAATAGTTCACAGACATGATTAATGGACTGCCTAGGAAAGTTAGCAGGTTACAAACTGTTAACTGATCTTTAAGGTCCTTGATAGTTGCACTTTCCAAAGTATTGTCATAACTGTTGTGTTTTTAAAAACCTAAGAACCCCTCCTTATTCATCAGTATAGGATTAGCATATACTAGCAATAAATATATTTATTTATGAAAAATAAATATGGTAGTTGGGTCGAAGAAATTATACTTTGCAAATGACCATAGACCAAAATTTATGTTACTTGAATTTAAAACAAGAAGCAGCAGCAGTTCTGATGGTTAAGAAATGATGAGAGAACAGGCACAACGAGGTTAAGTGCATTCATTTTTGTAAATGCTCAAAACCATGCATAGATATATATTATTGTGATTAGCCTTATAGTATTTCCAGAAGAGAATTTGTTGGTGAGGTCCTAATTCTGTGAAAAAATTAATTAGAGGTTGTGTATTTTCTTATAGCAAAAATTTGAGTCTTTCATAAATTTGCTTTCAAGAAGTTTAAATACTCCTTTTGCTTTATGATCTTATTTTACTTTAAATTTCACAAGATGAAATAAGCTTTGAGCCTCTATTTTTAAAAACGCCAACGTTTTCTATCATAGAAATTTCAGGAGTATACAGAAAGGTGATATATGTGAATATATTGGTGAGATAAACTTGGACATTGCAAAGTAAAGTCAGTATAAACTTTATAAGTTTATACTTTTCAGTATAAGAAAAGCTATGTGTAAGGGCTTTCTTTTGCTTATTGTGTTTTATAAGAATTTATGCATAATGGACTATTTATTAAAGAATAATTGGGTTTTGAATTTTATTTTTCTGGTGACTATGTAACAACTATCAAAATCTCTTAATTTCTGAGATTTCTAAGTGAGAGACCTTTGAATTCACATTCTCCAGTATACCTTTTGTTACCATATTTGAAAATTGTTCTTTTCTTTTTAAGGATTGTTTTCTCTACTTTGAGGTTTGGTAGCTTCTGCTAAAAATAGCTTTGCTTCAGATATTGCATTAAAAGCTTCTGGTTTGCAGTAGGAAAGTAGCATAAAGTATTTATTTGAAGTGTTACTAATGGAGACTAACATACAAAAATTCCACTAGTGTTATGACTGTGTTTGAGTTGACAGCTTTTTCTAACTAAGAGAAATCGGAACTGGATGATGATATTATAATTCTGCATATACTTGAAGTGAAACAAAAAAGAACTAACCTTATTTTCTAAATGAATTTCAGTTTTTTTCAGCTTAAATCAGAATTTTGTGTGAAAATGGATTTGACAGTCTTAGAAGTTCCTTCATAAGACTGACTTTGGTTGTAAATATTTTAAGCAGCGCGTTTGCTCATTAGATCTCTAATTGGGTTTAATTCTAACAGGATTTTTTTTTTCATAAGATCGTAATTTTATTTTTAGGAAATATTAGTGTCATTGAAGGATCTTTAGTCCCTGTGTGGGTTTTTTTTTCCAATTGCATATTTATTTCTAGCATCCTTAAATACAATTACAGTGTCTTCAGACAGAAGTTCTGAGTGAGCTCTTTTTTGGGTTGGGTATTTTATTTACTTCATTTTAGGGTGCCTTCAAAAGTGTATGACAGGATCCCAGGATCCCAGGGCCACTCCAGGCTATTCTCTGCACAGCATGCAGGTTCAGTGCCAGGGCCCAATTATACCATGTTAGTAGAGCACAGCAGGCCTAGAGGGAACCACGAGGACCACACTTGGCAGTATTGGGGTGAGAATACGGAGCCATGTGGTATCAGGGATCAAATTTGGGATCTTGTACATGCAAGGTATGTGCTCCAGCCCATTGGGGTGATTTTTAACTGAAGTAGACAGCAAAGATCTCCCTTCTGACCACCTGAGAAATCAGAAGCATTATTACCTTGCTTTGTTAATTTTAGCCAGAATGACAGCTTTAATAGTTGCTGGACTATGGTTTTTTTTTTGGTATAAGTTTGTAGAGAAGGAAAAAATCTTCTTGGGGGGGGGATTTCTCATTTTGGGATCCAATAAAAAAATTGTGACTTGATCTAGTTTACTATAATATGATATGCTTTCTACATACTGTGCAGTATCAGAACTGTTCCATTCTCTTCCTTAAATTTTGCCCACCGATATATAATATCCTTTTAATTAAAAATTCTTCTCTTTATATATTTCAGCAAGTAAACTTTGAATTCTGCAGACTTTTTCCCAGTAAACTAAGTTCAAGCATGGTTTCTTCAAAGAGTAATTAGGGCATTTCAATTTATCAAAAGTTTAAAACGAATTGATTTTGCAGACTTAACTTGTGTAATATATGTATAATTGAACTATATAAACCTTTTAAATGGCTTTCAAAAATATTTGTAAATTCAACTTTAAGTTTAGTTTTCCTATCACTCTTAAAGAATTGGGTTTTATGACATCTTTATTTTAGGTGGTAAATTTAAAAGGTAAACTTAAAAAATAAAATCATTTCTGTTGTCAGACTTCATACTGTATAAACTGCTATTTTCTGATATCTCACTATATTTCAACATCTTCAGTGGCGTGCTTTACCTTTCTTTTGCCCTGTTCATAAAATATTTAACATCTGGAGATAATTAAATATAACATGATTTGCCAATTTTATCTTGGTTTAGGTCAGCAGTCTCTGAGTTTAGGAGAAAAGCTGTTCTGATGCTACTAATGACTTGATAACTCAGATATAGCTGGTATAACTAATTGACTTTGGGCCTGTCATCTTTAGAAAATTCCGTTCACATTCAGTTCACATTTGCTGTTAACTTCTAATATCTTCAGGCGTTTTCTTGTCTCTACAGACGGTGTACTTGATCTCTCCACTAAGAAAAGTCCATGTGCTGGCAGCACTTCCCTGAGCCATTCTCCAGGTTGCTCCAGTACTCAAGGGAACGGGTAAGGGAAAATATTTTAGCCTTCCAAAGTTTTTAGGAGGTAATTTATCAAAGGTTAACGCCACTCTCCCTTGTGACTCTAAAGCAGGTGTTTTGTAAAGTGACTTTCAGATCATTGATTAAATAGAAACACAATCTGTGGTATCTATAGTTGTCTAGAATCAATATTGCCAGTTTGTACAAATAGTATTAAATCAGGAATATGGCAAAAAATCTTTGGACTTTTTGTTGTTGAGTATTTGATAGTATAAAACCCAGCCTGAATAATTCTAGAGTTCAGGTATAAAGGAAATCTTTTGTGTTCTGAATTTGTTGAATTAGAAAATGAAAATAAATCTAATACATAACTTAGTATCTCTCTAATGGGGTGTGGGTGAGTATACATGGGGGTGGGGTGTTTTTTTTTCTTGTTTGTTTTGTTTGCTGATCTGAACTGCAGTTTTAAGTTTGTGGCAGTTCATATGTGTAATTGTACTTTTGTTTTTGAAGTATATAAGATTGGTTGTGGATCTTGATGAATAATTGTCTTAGGCTGCGAAGTCATACACACAATTTTGATATTCTTAGCAGACTAAAGTGAGTTTTCTGAACACCTGATTTTATAAGTGTAAGAATTATCTGATTTTCCCTCTATGGGTATAGTAGTTATTTAACAAAGATATTAAGATAACTAGATACTGTATTAGGAAGGCATTTTCATAAAGCTGTACTCTTAACTTAAAAATTGACTTCTGGCTGCAGATGTATCTTAGCCTTAGAGCCATTACCTTGCATGTGTAAGGTCCTAGTTTGAATCCTTATTACTGCAAAACATAAAATGCAGTAAAGTATAACACAGTTAATAAAATTCAACTTTAGTTGCAAAAGTTATGTTGGTAAATTAGGTTATATTAGGTTTGTTTAACTTGGAGACTATAAACTTGAGAAAGTTGTTAAACTATTACAGAAGTAGACAATAAATGGACTTTTTCAGTACACTCTTCATTGCCTTCAAATGGAAGGATTCCTTTGCTGATTTCTTTACTGACGTTCTCTATTTTTTAAAAAATTCCTCATTTCCCTTTTTCTCTCCTTTGTCTAAAAGTAATTTCATTAATAATAATTTTGCAAAGTATACCAAATCTTTTTTTCTTTGCACTACAATTGATACTCGATTTTGTCATCAATTATCCCAGATCATTGGATCATTGAAATATATATATATTTGATATATAAAATATATATATATTTGAGTTATATGAAGAACATGCAGAAAAATTGCTTGCTGTTTGCATAAATAAATTCCTTGCTTCAGATTCCTTTTAGCCTTAGGTGTCAAACCCATGTCCTCTGTGGTTGAAATTGCTGCATTTATCTCTCTGGATGGAATTTTCTATGTGGTACTGTTTTCTGGAAGACAAAAGCATTGAGAGTATTGCCCATCTTTTAGTTAGAGATTTATATAGAATCCCTTTAGACTTGGAGAACATAGCTGGTTTATCATTATTTCTGAAAAGTTCCAGTTTTGGCCTAGTAAATTTATTCCCCTTAGGCATTCTTATCAATTGCCACTTTGATCTTCGATAATATTTTCTGTTGTGAAAACAAAAACTTTATGAGGGGCTGGAGCAATAGCACAGTGGGTAGGGCATTTGCCTTGCACACGGTCAACCCGGGTTTGATTCCTGGTATCCCATATAGTCCCCCGAGCACTGCCAAGAGTAATTCCTGAATGAAGAGCCAGGAGTAACCCCTGTGCATCGCTGGTTGTGACCCAACAAGCCAAACTTTATGAATAAACTTTAGTTAGTAGACTTCTTAACTTACTTGAAAGCTGTCTACTTGAAAATGGCAAAATTAATGTTTGGTATTTTAATATTAAAAGTGCTTTAATTAAATAAAATTGCTACAAAATTGTCTCTATACTTCTGACAGTTACTTTGAGTAGAATTTAGGAACAAATATTTGGGGGGGAATAAAGGGAAATTTCTTGCAACCTAGGATTGTTTTTAAGTGGAGAATGAGTGGTACTCATTTATTTGAGAAATGTGGTAAGTTATGATATAGTTTGGGGTTTTTCTCCCTTGGGGCTGGTAGCCATATTTCCCCCCCAAGAAAAATATGAAACATACTTGGAGGAGTTTTAATTTTTTTAAATAATAAACATCATCTTGTTCGTGAATTAAATGATCAATTATCTGGCTTCCACCAATGTAAAGGTTCCAGTTTTACAACTGGTTGTCATGACTGTTGAATATGTTGATCAAAATAAATAATTTGACTTACTCTTTTATTACTGTGCTTGTTTAGTGGTAACGTCACGTTGGTAACAAAATTCTGTGTAGATCTATGGAGACTTGATGATTACTTTGTAATTAATAATTAAGGTGCTATTTTCAAACAGTTGCGCGAAACTTTTTCTCCGAAAATTTGTGAACCCAACCAGAGACCAGCTGACAGGTTTAATTTTTCTTTGCCCAAAAAGCTTCTGGGTTGTTTTTTGTTTTTTTTTTTCCTTTTTTCCTTTTCTTTTTTTGTGAACAAGTTTTAAAACTAACTGCTGAGCCTTTTTTTTTTTTTAAATTTTAGAGAAAAATAAATAAATAACACAAAGTGATGTTACCCAAGCAAGGCCTTCTAATAAAGGAGTGGTCCCCTCACCTATCCCTCCCTACCTGTGCAAGTCCTGCTCACATCAGTTTCCTTCCATCCAATTAGGCGACCTGGGAGACCCAGCCAGTACCGCCCAGACGGACTTCGGAGTGGTGATGGGGTACCTCCAAGAAGCTTACAGGATGGAACCAGGGAAGGTTTTGGACACTCCACATCACTCAAAGTTCCATTGGCTCGATCCCTGCAGATTAGTGAAGAACTACTGAGCAGAAACCAATTGTCCACAGCTGCCAGCCTTGGGCCATCTGGATTACAGAATCATGGACAACACTTAATACTATCCAGGGAAGCCTCTTGGGCAAAACCACATTATGAGTTCAACTTCAGCCGTATGAAGTTCAAGGGAAATGGTGCACTCAGCAACATCAGTGACATTCCTTTTCTTGCAGAAAACTCTGCCTTCCCCAAAATGGCACTTCAAACAAAACAAGATGGAAAAAAGGATGCGAGCCATTCATCTCCTGTAGATTTAAAGATACCACAAGTTCGAGGAATGGATCTTTCTTGGGAGTCTCGCACTGGTGATCAGTACAGCTATAGCTCTTTGGTAATGGGTTCACAAACGGAGAGCGCACTTAGTAAAAAATTAAGGGCTATTCTTCCAAAACAAAATAGAAAAAGCATGTTAGATGCTGGACCTGATTCTTGGGGCTCAGATGCTGAGCAGTCTACCTCTGGACAGCCATATCCCACATCGGATCAAGAAGGAGATCCTGGCTCCAAGCAGCCTCGGAAGAAAAGAGGGCGTTACAGACAGTACAACAGTGAGATACTGGAGGAAGCAATCTCAGTGGTTATGAGTGGAAAAATGAGTGTTTCCAAAGCTCAGAGTATTTATGGGATTCCCCACAGTACACTGGAGTACAAAGTAAAAGAGAGGCTGGGCACTTTGAAAAACCCTCCAAAGAAAAAGATGAAATTAATGAGGTCGGAGGGGCCAGATGTTTCTGTAAAGATTGAATTAGATCCCCAGGGAGAGGCAGCACAAAGTGCAAATGAATCAAAAAACGAGTAGGAATATTGTAGAGTGCCAATTACTGTACAAACTGGGTGAGCACTACTGCATTGTTCAGCTATCATTGCTTGCACCTGACTCCATTCACTGTGACACTTGTACTTTGCAGATTTTGCATTGACTTGTTTGTCCAGATGTGAAAGGTGCATTTTGAATGTTGCATATTTTAAATTTTTCTTGTGCAGTATGGCCCAGGATATTGTTTGGCCTTTTGCATGTTTCTCTACAAAAGAGAATTGAGTTACCTCACAGAAAACAGATACATGGAAGTGGACTCCTTGTCTGTAGAGCCTGCATGCTTTTCTTTCTTCTTTTTTTTAAGTTTATCTTTGCCTTTATTTAAAAAGGAAAAAGGAAAAAAAGCCCCTTTTAGAAACCACCTGTGTCATACTGGGAGCTTTATCGTTGCAAATTGGAAATTGGAAAGCCATCATAAAATACTAAAAAATTTTTTTTTCTTCTACCATTCAACTAATTGAAGGATTAAACTAAAGGAAAAACTCTTGAGAACAACAAACCTTTGAGTTTAAGAAATTTGGTTATTCGCTGATAAACATTTATTTGGGTCAATTTACATCATATGGTTTTCTTCTGGTTATTAAATTTACTTAATAAATTAACAATATATTTAGTGCTCACCCAGAAGGGAAGGAGGTGGAAATGTGCACACACTACCTTCAGAAATGCTTCGGTTAATTACTTTGTAACACTACCTTTGCTGTAATTTCATTTGGAATTTTCTAAGGGTAGAATTTGGTCTCACCCAAGTGAGGGTTATAGCCTTATCTCATGGAGGACGAGCTCCGCAGTCAGGGTACATTACATAAAACAATAGAGGATGCCTCATTTTAACAAACTAAGTTTCTTTGTATTAAATCATTTTACAGATATGATCATGTGCTTAGATCATGTGCTAACGACTGTCATGCAAGCAGCTAGTTTAATGTATTTTTAGTATCTGTTTATTGGGGAATGGGAAACTAGGGGGAAACGATGTGTATGAATAATTACAAGATTGCAAAAATCATACCTTGATGATTTTACTGCATCAATAGTCTGCCCAAATGCCCACATGAATGAAGGGTCTGTGTGGTGAGAGAAAAAAAGACAACCCCACAAAACTTGTTACGGTATAGGCCAAATTTCACTTTTAACAGTAAACCAACTAGAAGTCAAGTTTGGGAGTTTCTTTCATATCTAATCCAGATACTAGCAAAGATGGGGGAGGGTTGTATTTAGTTTTTTATATAATTTGTAACTGGAATTATTTTGTTTGTTTCTTGGCATCCTTTTTAATATTTCCTTTTATCTGACATTTAGCTCTTTTAATGGTTGTTTAGCACACAGTTCAGGACTTTTAGATCATGTTTGTACAAGCACTCCTTGAAGAATATCTAAGCTCTTTTTTGAGATGAGATTTAAAAATTAAAATAAATTTTCTGCAATGTTTTGGCCAGTATAACTGATAAGAAAGGCCATGAAATTAACTTTGCATTGTGACCAAGTTTAAATTACCATTTGTTCAAGACAGAATCGCATGCCATATACATGTTCTGTTCTAATCTGCTGAGAAAGGTGGCCCCAGGTCCTTCTAAAACACTTAACCAAAACCACAAAAGACTAGTTTTCAAATCAAACTTGGGTCGATCACTTGAGAAGTTGATTTCCTCTGATACTAATGTGTGAAAAATAGATCGAGATATTCCGAAAGTACACATTCTTTGCTTGGAAACTTTGGAGCAGTTGATTAGGTAAAAGATAGTTATCCCTCAACAACCTTTGTGTTCAAAGGTTAGGCACACCATTGCTGTTACTAAAATACATACACTGCTCATTCTTAACATAGCTTGGACTTGGGTTCCTCTTTTGGTTTGGTTGTTTTATGTATCAGTTTAATCATTGGATGACTGAGCCTGTTTTCTATTAGCTTTCTAGTTTCAACAGAAAAATAGTTTGGGTTCAGAGCAGTATATGACTCTGCAATGTTTTCTAGCCTAGCTGGAAGTTGCAATTAAATTCTTTGAAATGTGTGGTTTTCATCAGCAGTTGAAGGAAGTTGTAGAAAGTTTGCTGAAAGCAAAAGGCTGCACTTGTGAAGAAATGCCTCCTTTGTTCCATACTCAATAATTTGTCAAACACAGTTCATTTCAGCTATGGTGCCTTTTTGCATGGCGTTTGGGGTAGCCCAAGACTGCTTGTGAAAAGGTCCTGTGAGCAATTAATTCATGCTTCTCCCTCCCCTCCCTCCCCACAAAAAGGCATCAGTTAAAGGCCCATTTAAAAATCTGGCCCTAAAAGTTCAACTTTAGTAGAGTTTTACTGTTCAGAGAGGTTTAATCCAATGTAGTAGTCTATAAAGTGATGTATGAGTTGAGTTAATGTAAATTTTGTCATTGTAGTGTACATGGAGTGATCATTTTACTAACATAAATATTTTCTATGTGTGTTTCAGTGGATGACAATCGAGCAGCAGAAGAATGGTGTGCCTACCCTTTAATGCTGCAGTTAAATAAGAGAACTTGTATTGTGTCATTTCAGATTGTAGGCTGAGAGTTGTAAATAGTGAAAATTTGAGTACTTATTATTTGTTTTGGTTAGAAAGTGAATTTAAAAAACAAACCAAACTCTAAACCTTCTCAGATTAAAGTCCTGAGACCTGAAGATTGTAATTTCATGTCTGTGAAGCTTTTAAACATTTTACACTTGAGATCAGTCATGACTTAATATTCAGGTAAATTTTCTTTTCCAAGAAGCTTTTGAATAAGCATATTTCCTCCAAAGGTCGGTTGGTCTCTCTCTCTCTCTCTCTCTCTCTCTTTTTTTTCTTATTTGAGTGTAGGTTGTTTTAAAGCACTAATTGCATTACATTCGTAACTGCAATATAAAATAGCCATTATTGTTTTGTGAAGCATGGTTGAAATTAGATAGTGGTCCCTTTTAAATTTCATGAGCCTCTCAAAAAAAAAACCTCAAAAAAAAAACAGAAAGCTGCTGAATATTTCAAAAGATATATATTTTACCTTATTGTAGGTTTTGTAAAGTTAGTTTGTAATATTCAGGTGCACTTTTAATGTTAAATTTAATTTTGTGTTCAGAGTTCCATTATACCATGTACTTCTTGGAGGTGGCTCATCACATGGCTGGCTGTCAGTTCTTGGTGCCGCAGTGATCCCTTAATATTTGATTTCTCTCTTAATTTGCCACTATTCTATATTGGCACTTTCAGTGTAGATATTCTAGTTTGGGGATGTCCTTATAATTATGTAATAGAGATTGGTCTATCCGCATGCTTAATTTCTGCTAATCAAGACTTGTGCAGGGTTCCAAATAACAATTGACCATTTTTATGGTATTGGAAAGTATAGTTCACAACTGTCATTGTCACAGAGCCTTGTTTCCTCACGTTTGCCAATAGGTGGATAATGACATTACTCACAATATTTATTACTCAAAGTAATGTTAGCGATAATGTATTTAAAATTCGGTCTTGCAGTTTTTGTGAGAGAACATTGATATAGAGTAGATAAGCTATAGCACTGTAAGATCAAAAGTGAAAAATTCTGTGGGAAGATAAGTAGTTGGTATCATTAGCTTTCTCATACCTGAACGTAGTCATCAAGCTCGACAGTAATGTATCATATTTCTTTGTTCAGGGCTTACAGGTGACTCTGAACTATGTGATGAGCTATACATCTTTTTTTTTTCTGTTCCCCAAGTACCATGAAGGACAAGGTCTCTTTCAGGAAAAATAATTTATATTTGTGTATAATACTTCTTAATATTAAGTTGTTCTGAAGTTTAGATGTTGCTTGATGAACCTTTGCTGCAGCAGATCTGAGTAAGGCTTTGTGTGATAATAGGGGTCCTTTATGTGAAGTTAAATACTGTTCAGTTCTGGCGAGCAAGCTCAACAGGTGTGAAGTGTGTATTAGCTTTATTTGGTACACTTTTACTTTACAATATTGAAGTGCTTTTAGAACTCTGGTTATCTTACATATAAACCAATACCTCAACCAATTGGCATTACCATTTCCCAATGTTTTACCTGAGCTATAATATGAGCTGTTTGGGTTCAGATAGTAAAATAAAAGGCACAATGAGAAGCTTAGTTCCCAATTTTCTGGAGAGAACTCTAAATTAGGTGAAAGCTGACTGCCCTCCAAGGCCCGTATCATAGCTGCCTTCTGTCACTAGGCAGTACGTACTGACCTGGGAGCTGCTAGTGAACAGTGTGGCCTCCCCTTTCCCCACATAAGCACATGGTGCAAGGCCTGATTGTAAGCCATTGTGATTCTCTTACATCTCATTGACCCATAATAGGGAAGCTTGGATTCAGTTATTTATACAGAACAAGTCAGTGAGTCAACCTGTGTCAGAACCTGAAATTATTTTGCATAGTTAGAGCAGATAAATGACACTTTGGAATAATTTTCTTTAACACTTATGATCCCTGTAGATTTAATTTTGAGATCACTGTATTTTTGCTTTTGTCATTATCCTTTCTTTAAATGCCAGCGGTGGTTTTCATATGTAATCTCCCATTCTGTATATTCAGGTTGTTGTCATTGTAGACTATGGTAATAGATTGAGTTGCTCTACTAAGTCTTTTTTAGGAGACATTGAAAGTTAGTTAAGTTTTGAACATCTTGAAGATATCAAAGATTGTTTTCCTTGTTACCTCCATAATAATTAGGTCTTCAGGTCAGTGTTATTAAAATCTTAATGGCTTTAGTCAAACATCCCAGTTAAGAAACTATTGAGCTATAGATTTTTTTTAATCAAATGATTTTTAATATATTGAAAATGAAATAATTGTAGTGCAAGGAATGCAGACCTCTAAACTCTTTCTTTGTTTTGTTCTGAATTTGAGACTTGAGTAGACTATGGTGACTGAAGGGAAAATGAGAAAACTATTTGCAATCTTCTCTTACTCCCAGATAAATTCTCAGTTGCCTTTTAAAGAAGCAGACATTAGCCCTGTAGCAAAATGCCATAACTCAATCTGTGTGCCCATGTTCTAAAGGAGATTGGGGGAGAAGGGTGGTAAATAGGAAGGGAAAGTAGTTAAAGATTCTGTCGTGCAGCACTAAAATTGAATCCCAGGGTAATGTGGTAATGTTGGGCTATATTCGATTTATCATCAGAAAAAAATATTTGGAGAGTTTGAAAATGAGAATCAAGGCTAATGTTGATTTAACGAGCAATGGAACAGGAGTTAATTCTGCAACTATTTGGGGGTTGGGGGTTATTTTACAGTTTTTTGATTCATTTAGAACTGTGTCAAAAGTTGGAAAGCAAGCACTTTTAGTTAATCATAGATTTATTGGATGTAGCAAATATTATAATATTTAATCTTTATTGTTTGAATATGGAAATGAACTCTTTACCCCATCTTGGACTGTAATTGAGCAGGCTCAAGATGATCTTTTCAACACTGGAAAAGACCCTACACACGTACCAAAAAAACCTAAAGCAGTAAGACATATTTGAAAATCCATACCTCTTAGACTTTTTAGATTTGTCTTGGGAAAGAATTTATGAACCTATAACCAGTATTAGTGCAGTCTTGGGTTCCTTGTTCTGCATAATTGCACCCTTTCTCAGGTATGTCCTGAAAACATAAATTTTAAAATAATCTCTTTAGAGATTAGAGTCTCAGTGGATAGTGTGTAAGGGGACTGGGGGAGGGGGGTTAAACACAGGACACTGATACCGTAGAGCAGGGATTTTTAACATTCAATAGCCAAATAGAATTTCAATATAGAGTATTTTTACCCCCTCAGAATGAGTGAAATAACATCTGTTATTTGGTAAATACCCGGTGCTACACTCCTAAAAGTCTTTTCTATCATCCAGGTAATTTTTTTTCCTGCTTGGTGGGAGGGTAGATAGTTAACTTTACTGTCACTAGGAAAGCACTTGTCAGAAATGTTTAAAGTACTAGAAAAGGGATTATTCAGCACTTTTTCTGTTACAACACTAAAGTCTTAATTTATCTTCAGAGTCTTAGGTACTGTAAGTTTTACGGTGATTATTTAAAAATATAAAACTTACTACATAATATGGGGTCAGATCACATTTATATAAATCTTATTTAAAAATAAAACTAACACTTTGTACTTTCAAGCAATTCCAAGTGATTTGCCTCGTTTTCTCCATTTTATTAAGCATTTCAGGCTTAAGAATTTGGAATTGAGTGGAGGTAAGGGGGAAATTCCCCAACATGGAAAATTGTGTCAGACCATATTCGAGAAATAAATCACTAGGAAATGGGTAGGGATTCTCTCTCCCTTAAGTCTTCAGGGAATGAGCAGTATTTAGAATCTTTGGCTGAAATTCAAGCCTTTTTACTGTGTAAATTTTTAATATTAATTCACTGACATGCTTTTTACATCAGAGGACTGAAAATGGATCTTAATGTTTTTAAGTTGTGGAAGGGTATATTTCTAAAATGAGGGTGGGATAATTAACTAGGTTAGTATACCAGCATTAGTAAGTTTATGAAATTTTAGTATGTAATAGCAAAGTGTTTGATTAAAAGTCTAATCCTATATTGCTAGTCAAAATTAGTTACATTCTGATCTAGGAAAGATAATAGTCATTGGATATTGATATGCTGTGCTGTCAGAGAACCAGACGAAGATAGAAACCTTTATCTGACTCCCACATGTTGCTTGTTCTGATGGAATCGATACTTTAGAGCAGGTTGTTGCTGCTTTGAGAAGAAATGTATAAACTCTACACTTGGAGTGTTTGCTTAAATTCTTTATAACCTCCACTTTAAAATGTCAGACATTGGTTTTTTATCAGTCCATACTGTTAAATAAAACTAGTGTTCTTAGGAATTAAACTTGTACACACTGTTTGAAAACCCTCAGGGACAGTTTACACACTATTCTCACTCAATTCAGGTACTTTGATGCTATTCTTAAACCTAACAGTGACTTGTACTTTTCTGTTTTGCTTTTATTTCAACGTGCTGGTAGCACATCCTTGATGAATGTCAACTTAAAAACTCAGTTCAGGTATCCAGGTATAACTCAGCCAAACAGATTTTAAAGCTGCATATAACTCTCCAGCACACGGTGCCTCACACTCTTATAGTGGCATTCTATTTATTCAGTTATTACTACTGAGCAGATAATATGGGGGTTCCTGTTAATTGTGTATTTTAGAAACAAAAACACAGAATGTGCATAAACATGTAGCCAGCACATGTAAAACACATATATTCACTGACACGCAGTTAAACTATTTTTAAATGCCACTAATAGCCAGCACAATTAAATGACATTCCTTGCTTCTGTTGGTTGTAACAGATGCAATTCCTCCTCGATGTGGCTCTTGCTTCTTCACCATACTACTACTAAATTCAAGCACTGGTCCTTGGGTGTCTGACCTCGTCATTCTAGTTTATGCAATGTCTTTAGAGAATTCTGTGCACTGGCCACTGTGATGGAACCATTGGGCCAGGAGTGCTCTGAGTTTATTAGTAGTGATTCTGTGATTCTGCCAAAGTTGGTACTATAACATGAGCATGTACATGTCAAAAAAAAAAAATCAGCAGAGGCCTAGGTCTGCATATGAGCAGACGGTTTTGTCAGTATATTTTGTAGCCTTGAAGTCCTCAGTGACAAGTTTTCTGATGTGAAGTTCTAATTCTTGTATTTTAGCCCTTTGCATCTTCATTGTTTAAGATTTGTCTACTGGGGGTTTTATTCTTTTTAAAACTCCTTTTGTTTTCTGCAGTACTATCTGTGGTTAACAAAACAGATTATTCCTCTGCTCTAATATTTGATATCTTACATCTAAAAAGAATTCTTCACATATATCAAACCCATAGCCTTTGAATATTAAAAAAAAATGGCATCATACAAATTTCTAGAAGTTCAAGTGTCATGCAACAAAACAGGAACCCCCTTTACTCTATGGACCTCATTTCAATATACTGTTTACAGTTTGACAGAATTGTATAATTTAATATTTCTCTTGTACTGTAGTTTATATTTATTTACAGATTTTTTTTGTACTGTGTGATTTGAACTTTTTGTTCTTGCTATGATCAATGTTTATGTAGTAGAGCACTTATGATCACAAATTAAGTTTTTTGGTTTGATTGCACTACATTAAAATTTTTAATGCAGTTCTGATTTTTGACTGGACTACAATAAGCTGTGTCTTAATGTATGTGATGAGTACTTAAAACTTTAATCCATGTGGTCCCCCTTTTTTTTGCATTGTATGTCAAAGGCGCTAGTTCTTTCGTGCATGTGTAAGATTTAATGGTTCCATTGTATTATTTGACCATGACATTTTGGAGAAACATTCCCAGCTGTAATGTTGTGTATGGTAGTTCTCACTGGATGCTAGACTTTTCAAAACCACTATTCTTCTAATAAATTTTGTTGTGAAAAACTGTTTTAAAGTTTTGGTTTCTACTTTTTAAGGTTTTAATGCTTTTTTACGAAAACTCACAAACGGGTGACATTTCAAGGTATTCTATTAATGTGCATGACAAGATAATTTTTTAAAAAAGTCTTTTACAAATGAAATTTCTTAGATAACTAAAAGTTGCTCCTTCAAAATCATGTTTCAGTATTTGGAAGCTGCACTACCTTTCATCTCTAGGTTTTTAGTAGTTTGCTATTCTCCCTAACCCTCATTTTCTTCATTGGATTCACTTAGGAAACTGTTTTAAGGGGACCAGGAGATAGTATAAGGGGTGAAAAAAATACCCCTCCCCCTCCACCAGTAATACCCAAGTGTGGTCCTGGTGACCTCACAGGGCCCAAGTCCCTGTCGGGCCAGATCCTGAGCACTAACAAGGAGGACCAAATAAATTTTTTTCTGTTAAAGAAGATGCATTGGTGTTTTTAAAAAGAGTAACTTCTTGCTGGGCTTAGTTTTTACCATTTTTTCTTTTTTGGAGTAAATATTTATGTTGAGATAGCTTATCAAAAGTTTGCTGAAATTTTTTTTAGTATAACTATGAAAACAGCATTGTCAATAAATTAAGGTCATTATGCTTTGATTCTTGGAAGGATGCTGGTATTTCCTTGCAAAACAAGTAGTAGCATCCACGTACTGCTCAACATTTACAGTCTTTAGAATTTTGGTATATAGAGAAGTTATGGTTTTTGTTTTTATTTGGGTTTTCTTCATTTTTTGTTTTTGTTTGTTTTTGTTTTGTTTTTTGGATTTGAGACCACACATAGCAAAGGTTAGGTTATGGTTCTGTGCTCAGAGGTCACTACTGGCATGGCTTGGGGGGACCATATGGGATGCCATGACCAGCTGCAAGGGGAGAGGCTTACCTGCTGTGCTATCTCTCCAGCCTCCATAGAAGATTTGGATGGGGGGATGGGGGGCAGCTTGGTAGTAAAGCATTTGCCTCGCATGTGAGTTTCTCCAAGGGTTCATCTTCATAACTGCAAAAGGAAAAGTTTTAAGAGATGATTCCTCATAGTAAGGGAACAGTTAAATTGTTAATAATAAAGTTTAGAAACTATATGAGCCAAGATTATAGCTGCTTTTTTAAGCCCATCGTTTGCATAGAATTAATGTACATATAAACAATTCTGTTAATTTTTATGGCATTTTATCTTTTTAAGTGTTATTGTTGGTAATAGGTCTGGGTCATCTTCTAATGTTTTTGTCTTATTTATTTGGCTCTCTATTTCTGCCCTCTGGTCAGTGTTTATAAAATGGGAAATTGTGTTGGTTACACCCACTTGTTTGTTGGCTTCATTTGTTCACTTTCATATTGACATGTTTTTATAGAACATTTTTCTGGAAACTTAGTATTTCTTCGAAATTCCAAATCTATGATTACTTCTTAACTACCCATTCTAACTTGATTTCCAGATCATTCTGATTGGGGTTATAATTTACCATCTCATATGAATTTTTAAGTTTAGTTTTTACTTTTTTTATTTTTTTGGACCACACCCAGTGGTAGTCAGGGTTTACTCTTGGTTCTGCACTTAGGGATCACTCCTGGTAGGTTTAAGAGACCATATGTGGTACGATATGCAAGTAGATATTACTTCATATATTACTACCTATTTGCAAAAAGAAATTATTTGTTCTAAGCCAGATTTTTCTACTCTTGATTTTGCTGATACTTTGGGATTAATTCAGACATTCTGTATATTAAGATGTTGAAGCCAGGGAAATGACTTGGTAAAGTAGCATGAATAGAATGAAAGATTATGAAAGATAGACCGAAAAGTGGAATTACATTTTCCTCTGGAATTGTGAATTTTTCTTTGCCAGTGAATTGGATTTAAATATTAGGCATATACAAGTCATGTGATATTAGGTTGAAAAGTCCTTTTTAAAAATAGAAAATAAAAGCATTGTAGATAATTTCTTTTTACTCATTTGTATATCATTTGCTTCCAAAAGATATGCATTTGACGGTTTTATTCTTTAACTTAGAAATTGAATTTTTTGGTTTTAATGAGGTAATGGTAGTGTATCAAACTATATTTACAACTGATATAGACAGGCAAATTTGTAGAAAAGAAATGGTCTCGAAATGAAACAGGTGTGTTAAAAGGTTAATTGGAATGTGATTAAACATTTATACTGATGGTTTAGAGTTTATTTTGGCATATAATTTGGGAAGTGTGCAAAAATATATCAAAATTCATAAATACTACAGTATCTAGCCAAGAAGCTTATGTCAGCATATAAGAATACTAATATTGGGCCTGGAAAGATAGTACCATGGGTAATGCTCTTGCCTTGTACGTGGCCAGCTTGGGTTCAGTTCTTGGCATCCCATATTATCTTCCAAGCACCATCAGGAGTAATTCCTGAGCTCAGAACTAGGAGTAATCCTGAGCATTGATGCTGTGGTCAAAAAACTAGAAATAAAATATACTGCTCTGTTGGCTAGTGATTTAAAGATAATGAATTTATTATTCATCACTTTTAATTTGATCAGCTGGATAGAGTAGTAATTAGTACTTTCGATTTCTTGTAGCTTGGTAGAAAGAATTATTTTTTTATTTGTAGTGGGAGTGTTGACCTGAGTGATTTTTGAGCCTCATTTCAACAGACTATTTGAAAATGCATTTTCTATTAAGTGAGAGACATACAGTATTCATACACCAGAAATTTCAATAGTGGCCCTCCATCGAACATTTAAGTCCTAAAAATCTTACCTCTTCTTTGTAGCATTGTCTAAAAGGAAAACAGTAGAGATTTGGATGTTACTTTAGATATCTTAATTTTAAACAGCTTCATTAAGGGGGGTAGAAATAGTACACGGATTAAGGTTTATGCCTTGCATGCAATTTGACCCTTGAGTCCCACTGGATGTGGCCCTTTCCTTAAAAAAAATAAAATCTAAAAAAAATTATATGTTTTTGTTTTTTGTTTTGTTTGTTTTTGCTTTTTTGAGTCACACCCAGTAATGCTCAGGGGTTACTCCTGACTTTGCACTCAGGAATTACTCCTGGGGGTGCTTGGGGGACCATATGGGATGCCAGGGATCGAACCCAGGTCAGCCGCATGCAAGGCAAATGCCCTACCCGCTGTGCTGTCGCTCTGGCCCCCAAAATTTTCCGTTTTTGAACAGGATACCTTTGCAAAAATTAGCCAGGGACGTTTTATGTTAAACTTTACCATTAAAAAGTTAAAAAACTTTACCTAATTTCTATTTCTGTTGTATGTAGGCTAATTTTACCTTGAATATTAGAGCAGTAAATGTTCTTGGCATGGCTAAAGTCAATCTTTGTCAAATTCTGAAATATCCCATGCTTGAGTTCTACACTAAATCCCCTGTACTGGGTTATAAGAGTAAAGCGTGAATATGTATGTATTTTCAAAATGTAACAGGCAGGAGAAGGAGTTCAGCAGGCTATTCTAGAATGTTATGTGTAGTCCCTGAGCACTGATGCGAGCAACCCCCAAGTACTGCCTGTTGTGGCTCCAAGAAAGGAAAATGTAATATAAGGGCTTAGGGGTGTGTGTGTGTGTGTGTGTGTGTGTGTGTGTGAGAGAGAGAGAGAGAGAGAGAGAGAGAGAGAGAGAGAGAGAGAGAGAGAGAGAAGGGAAATGTCATATAAGGTCATGGGTTTTGGATGTGTGTGTGTGTGTGTGTGTGTGTGTGTGTGTGTGTGTGTGTGTGTGTTTATTTGAAGCACCATGATATTCCATACTGTTCATGATAGGGTTTCATGAATACAATGTTCCAACGCCCTGGCTCCCACCAGAGCTTCTCTCCACCATTGTCTGGATCCCCTTCTCGGCCACCCCTCTTACCTTCCTTGCCTCCCTTTATTTCTATTGGTTTAGTTCCATAAATCAGTTTTTGATCTTTGAACAATTGTTATTCCCATACCCTTGTTCTCTGTATCTCACACATGAGAGATCGTTCTCTTTATTTTTTGCATTTTAAAAGACGTTTGACTCAGAAAAATTTTAATTGTAGAAATAGAAATATAATGTAATTGTCTTTGTAATGTTCAGTGGTGTTAAGCATAATCATATGGTTGTGATCATAGTATTTTAATTATTCCGCTCAGTAAATACTTGGCCCCATTCTTTTTTTTTTTAATTTTTTAAAAATTTTTTTTATTTTTATTTATTTATTTATTGAATCACTGTGGGAAAGGTTACAAAGCTTTCAAGTTTAGGTCTCAGTCATGCAAATATCAAACACATTTCCCTTTACCAATACTTATTTTTTACCATGAAGAACCCCAATAAAACCCCATCCCCCACCCCTCCCAGTCCCTGTGAGGCAGATGAATTCTAGTTAACACTATCTGCTTTGATTAGATTCATTGTTTCAATAAAAGATTCACCACTATTATTTAGAGTTTACCCCCCCCCCAAATCAGACATGCTGAAAAAGCATTGTGAAGTGATTTGCTTTCTACAGCTGGGTTCAAGAATTAAATGTTGGTTTTGGATTTCTGCTATTTTACTTAATTGATCCTGGAAGTATTTCTACTGAAAGTCAGATAGTTAAGAAATTGGTTTCTGTGCTCTGGAGTCGTGGCCGTGCTGGAGAGCCGCTCGTGGGGGGCAACTGGTGGCCTCGGTAGGGCGTGAAGGGCGGACCAAAACGCCCCCCTTCCCATGAGGTTTTAGTCGCCCCCACACCCCCGGCTCATACCTGCTCATACCACAAGGCTCCCATGTGGCCGCCATCTTTCTTTCCAGAGAGGAAAGGGCGAATGGGGCAACACCCTTTCCCCTCCGGACAGACATGATGTCCTGGATTAACGCATAGTCCGTTCACTTTTCTGCTCCAAGCTGCCGGGTTCTGCATTAAGTCCTTATGCTTCTGGGGCCGTGGCTGTGCTGTTGGCCCCATTCTTATCCTTCTGGAACTTCCCAAGCAGTACTCGGGGACCTCGGGACTGCTTGCTCCTGGCTATGTGGTTTGGTGCTAGGACCCAA